CAAACAGCTTTTTAGTTAAAGGTAATTGAAGGTGATCTAACAATTGCTGAGAAGAGGTGACTACGAAGGGCTTGCCAAGTAAGATGAAGCCCGAAGACCTTTACCGAAAGACCAAACAGAATGGCTTTAAAATCTGTAAATCCCACCGATTCAGAAAACAACCTAGTTCAGTCACAAAACACATACGAAAACCGACTATTTAAAAGAAGCTTTTGTCAGCCATCTTTGCGTCTGCAGATCCTTAATAACATATTATAAGAAAATAGTTAAAAGAAAAGGTGATATGTTTTGAAAAAAATATTTAAAGGATACAAAAATAATTAAGTATATTCGTTGTTACAATTGATAAAGGAAATGAATTCAAATATATGTATGGCGGTGTTAAAAAGGCCAATCCCTTAGGGCTGACTACAGTGTCTCTCTTATTCTGATAACTTCAATTTAAGCTATTCTTCCTTGATGAGTTATGAAGCTATCTTGGATCGACCCAATCATTGCTTTTATTGATAGAATTCCTGACCAATGGTCACTCGGCCGGCGTCTATTTTAGAAGATTTGGTTGTATGGGCATGAAAAGCTTTATTTACAGCGGAAAATGCTTCCAGAAAGGACAAGAGTTCAATTAAAGGAACGACATTCAGAAACTCATATTTATATAACCACTTCAGCGCTGATAAGTATCAGCACCCACTTGAAAAGAGAAAGCAAAGTATAAATAATTATTATTTACACAGTGGCCGACGGAAACGAGAGAATTTATAGCACGCATTTTGATTTAACGAGCCAGAGCGATATGCAACTTATATGAAAGGCAGCTTTTAGTACCGCCTGGGCTCTTCATCGCCATGTATTTACTAACCCAGTCTTCGCGTCGCGGCTCGCTTCAGTAGCTCAAGAGTGGCTAATTGGTGTCATTAAAAAGTTGGAGGCGGGTCTTTAAAACATGTATATGGCAAAAGCAAACATTATGCATACGTCACGACGATGCGTTCGTGTTAGGAAGATGAACGCCGTGCCCGGCGCTGTTTTACAATGTTAATGTAATCAAAGTTTAACTTCTGCCTGATTTGTGATTAAAAAATTATAAACTTTTCTAACAAAAAAATTATAAACTCACTGCAGGTGAGCCTTGAAAAAATCGACACAAAATTACTAAAAGGTTGCTATGAAAAATTAGCATTTATATTACAGGACAAAGTTCAATGAAGCGCTATTAATTGGAATGTCCTAGATAGAATGGCAAGTGGGGTAAAAGTTCGGAGGAGGATGGATGTGACGCCGTGCAATAACGTCTAAAATCTGCTTTTGATGCTTCGCGATTTGCACCTAGGAAAGTGGCTCTACGGGTAATTGTTATTGATGGCGCATTACAGGACTCTAGGATTGGCAGGACTGTTTAATGAATCTTATGGAATAACGAATGTCATTTGCATTGACGGCGGCCTTTATATCTGTTAATGAGTTGCAGAAGGTGTGTCATTTAAGGTGTGGGAATAATCAGCTGCTCTTTCGGATTGTTAGATTGTTGAGGGTATGGGATACATTCTAGCCACGCCCATAAACCGTATAAAGCTTTCACGCCCACAAATTTGAAAAAGGTTATATATTTTGATTTCACTATTTTTCATACCTATTTCTATTGCTATGACAATAATCTCATAAACGGTATTCCCAGCTGAGTAATGGGCATTTGACAGTCGAGGAAATCGACTCTGGCGTCATTTAATGTTGTTCAAATGAACCTGAAAAGCTGAATGATTGTGCCCCGCAAACCAGAGAACGCTTAGTCGAATTCCTCCCTTACTGGATAGTTATACCTATACTATGCTAAATAAAGAGCATAGAAGATGGATCCACGTTTTTTAAAATGTTTTCAGTAGTAAAGTGATTCGGCAAAACTTAAAAATACACATACATATATATGCACTCGGTCACCATAGGTAGCCCGATAGCCTTAAAAACAATTGGGGAAAATTTAAAAATGTCAATTTCCTCTTGCATAGATCAAGTTGCAACTAATATTAGGTAATCCCCCTACCAAACCTCAGTTCACATTAAAACAAGTCAATATTAAAGAAGGAGAATTGTAAGAAATACACGCACAATGACCAGCAATCTCGGGCTAGAAGGGCTCGCTCTAATAAATGTAAATACGTCAACTGGCTGACCAACCCCCTTTCCCAGTCCGAGTGGAAACGGGGGGAAATTGTTGGGGCCTGTCAACGAGCTTCTTGTGGTGATCGGCAGCGAAAGAGGACGAGAATGTTGAGCAGCTGTTGACTACGAGGAGGACGAAGACTTTTTGCTATTGACATTTGACAAGTCGCGTGGGATGTTTTGGGCCCAGAGGGCATGCGAGGGTGAGACCGAGGTACGCCTACTTAACTTTTTTCCCTCGTTCGCAGCCATGCTCCCTTTTTATTTATTATTGCCTTATAATATTTTCTCTTGTCGTTAGAATTTTTAAATAACCGCGGGTGCGATTTTTCTGCCCGGCTTAGAACCTTCACGATGGTTCGGGGCTGTGGCGGTAATGCCTTGCTATGATGAAATTTGTGTCTTAAACGTGTTAAAGTCGATAACGGTGCTTAAAATGGCAGTTGTGTTGCGGAAACTTCCCGTTTGATTTAATTAAAGGCATCGAATAACTTGCCCGGGGACTAAAGGTTGCTGTTGTCAGGATTTATGGATCAACAGAGGGCGGGGGAAAGAAAGCTGTATATATAAGTGCCCTTTTGGTGAGACTGATTTTTATTATAAAAATATATATCTCTATATTTTTAAAAAGGTTTTGCGACTTATTAAACCTATTAGACAGAAAGCAATTGATGATTCTATCCTGTTTTAGTTTGTTCTAACCGTCGCTAATCGGATTTCGAAAACGGCCTCGACCATAGAGTTCTCTTTTGTTCAGTTACCAATGATTTTCTTACGTTAGTGAAGTAGTTTTTATGCATTCTGCTCCATAAAGTAGCACCAAATTCTAGAAACCCTATTAAATTACTTTGCTGCTCGCAACTGTATACACTATATATATGCAGTACGTATATATTTATACATTATTAACATTAGAGCAAAGAGAACTTCTTTACTGACCTTTGTATAAGGCGAAACGTCGAGTGCAATGATCGTTTTAATAAGTCAAAGATAACGACAGAGGACCAACCAACTTTGGATGAGCAATGTTCAAGCGCCGCTAACGGAAAAAAAACTTTACTAGTCGGATATAATCAAAAGGTTCCTTTCCGGAACTGCAGGAAGCATTTGGCCAAACAATTTTCCCCATCTTTTCCATCTCTGTCTCCTGTTTTTTCTTCCTGTTTATTGTTTCCATGCTTTTGCTAAAAGTGGTGGGGCACGCAAATGCTTACGCTGCCGACGGGTGATTTACATAATGTCGACAACATGCGGCTTGTGCTACCTCTATTTCTTGTTCCCATCCCTTGCAACTGAGTTGCCAGTTTAAAAATATTAACTGTCAATTTGCATTTGGCAACACTTGGCTGAAGAGGAATTAGTGGGAAAAGCAAATAAGAAGGGAAGAGTGAATTATTTTTAGTAAATAACCCTTTTTTTTGGTTGACTAATATTAAACAAATTATGGTCGTTGTGTTGGATGAAATGATGCTCAATCTTATTTCAGTTTTAAAGCACACTAATAATGTTCCCAGAACATCAAATGGCACTACACTGAAAAGTATTTCCTATCATTTCGAAGGTAACTGATTTAGCCTGTTTATTCAATATAGTGCATATCCCAATTTGGACTTGGAATATGCGGTTGCTTTTGTATCCGTTTGCCCATGTTAATAAACGATAAAGGTATCATAATTTTTGTTCTAAGTGCTTTTTACATCAAAGTTTGTACCTAACTTCTCTACAATATTGCAGCAATTATTAAAATCCCTTTGACCCAAGTCAAACAAAAGAATTATTAGTCATATAAAAACCACATACACACATTTCGTGGGAGGGAAGCTCGCAACATTCGAATAAGCAAAATAGCTTTCCTAGCAACATTTCATTATCTGCCGACAATAGTTTATCATGAGATAAAGCCCTCTCGATAAGGACATAAGCACTGTGATAACCAACAGCAACAAGAGCGTGGACAAACAGACGATAATAATAATAACAGTATACAACTCACTCAGTCAATCGGAGTTGGTAACAAAGGAGCTGGCGACAGCCATGTGGAAAGTCAGCCGCAGTCGAATGCAGGCCGTCGCGAGCAACATGCGTCACATGTACTAATCAGGCTTGTCACCCACCCCTCACTTAGACCCTTGTGGGTGTGCGCGGCCATTTGGCTCAATACCCCCCTCTGGAGTTGAGCCTGAGCACGTGGTGTTCATGTCTAGGAACTCCAAGGCACAAGCCACCCCGTTGGGCAAATATGTTTGGTGGGGTTGGCACTGCATCTATGTATGTGTGGACTAGCCTGGGATTACGTGCAGTGAAGGGTATATTCGTTTTACGGTCAGAATCATTAGAGCTAGTACATGTTCATATAATGTCGGGGAACGTAAAGGAACCTCATGCCAAGTCCATAATATTTCACAAATGCGAGTTTCGGTCAGAATGTAAAAGATTATAATTTTGCGGTCGAAAACAAACACTAATCTAGTTTTGCTATCCTTTGGGTATGACAATTTTTCAAGCAATTTTTACCAAAACTACACTTTAAGGTGTTACTTTCGGGTACTCTTGTTAATTACATAACAAAATTATATTCAAACAGTTGCTTGGTATATACATTAAGCAACCAGTTATCAATATACAGGCATTAATTGGAGGACCCCACTTAACTTAATCCTCTAATTTTTAGAGGTGCCACCTCAATCCTTTGGGAAATACGAAAATAAGCACTCTGACTCAGAAATCCACTCCGCTTTTGAGTACTTTCAGTTGCTCTCCATTCGCCAGTCTGTTTCGACTCAGGCTCTCGTGCGGGTGGAAGCTCCAGCCCCCTCTGCTGCGTGGACTTGTTGCTCGACTCGACTCCCATCGGCCAGGCTTGTGATTCGTCTTTTGTCTGGACTCGGGCCGGCCGATGGCACCGCTTCGTTCCTGCAGCCATTCCACAAGTGGCCGTCATCATCAGCGCTTCCGCGTTTCCGGTAATCGTTGTGCGCTCCCAAGATACTTGGTTCGAATTGTGCGGAAGTTTTCAAAAAATACTATTGCTTACAATTGGAAAGCGAAAAATGTTAATAGCCAGCATCAATATAAATATTTAACAAAAATGATATGCATTCTGAATTGTGAGAGTTGTTGAAAAGTGCTTTTAACTTTATTTCACTTTTTTTATTTAGAAACATCGTGGACAAATTAAATTAAATAAATGTAAGTTGACAAAGTCATTTAACTGGCCAAAAAGCATTGTTGGGTCGGTTAAAAAAAAATTACTAAAATTGGAACGAACATCAAATTGTTAACAGACAATTAATTAGGAAACGCATAAGCAAACCAGTTAAATATAACTGAAAGCATCAAATTGACTTTATTTATTTTCAAAAACCTGCAGTCATTCAGGCTGGGTATAAGTTTACTATATATACAAAATTCCCTATACACTTGTCAAATGCAGTCTACGTTGTTGTAACTTAGCGTCCACCCGCACAGAAAAGGCAAACAAATGCTCAGAAAAGTATGCTTTATTTAAGAGAAAGCGTAATAAATATTACACAACACCAGGTGCTGGTTGCAAAGCTTAGATCCTCAAACCACTGTCTACCTCTAAACAAGGAATGGAAAACTTTTTAGTTAAGTCTCCAAAGGAAAAGGTAGTCATTTCTAAGATAGAGCCTTGATCCCATGATATTTCCATGATATATGTAGAACAAAAGCAGTTGTTGAGTATCGGAATAAATAAATCAAACAATTTTAAGTGATTACACGTTGTTTTAAGGCTATTCATCTACGGTTTGCAAAGCGAATAAATAATAATTAATATGTAAAAATAAATCTTTAAAAAAATACGCGATTATACATTGCATTAAATAAAAATTCAACATACCATAAAGTGGAATTTATAAATATGGCCTCTGACTAGACCTCCGCTGTGTTAAGCCTTGTCATTTTTCTCAACATTTCTTAAGAGGCCCCAAAGAGGCTGAAGTCCAAGGAGCTGTTGTCGTTAAATAATAGCGACACTTTTGTTTCATTCAACACCAACGACGGACTAAATGCACTGCAAAGTGCGCGGTTTCTATTACAACAAAGTCAATGTACATTTCTCGTCCCGTGTATTCCTTGGTCTGTCCCACGCTTTAAACACTGCTGCAGGTTCCGGGTCAAATGGTGGTAAGCCAAAGGGCATAACCATAACAACGACAATGCGGCAAAAGCGTTTCATCGGTAAATGTTTTTTATACTCCTCAACTCTTGGCAAAAAGGGTATATTGTATTCGTGCAAATGAGTGTGGATGCATTCACATATTAACGAAAAAATAAAACCATAAAAACAAGAAAACTTATCTATGGGAAACCAAAATACACGTTTTTGGTTATTTTATGAATTTGAATTGGTATATTTTTTTTGAAAAGGTTTCGTTTTTTTGTATCGTATTTGTTTCTACTTTTGCTATGGCATTTGTTTAAGTTTGTTTTGTTGTTCAACGACGATACTTAAATAGATTCCATAAAAACTGTCAAAAATGTATTAAAATCGAGTTTGTTCAACTTTGTTATAAGCTGAAAGTATATTAATTTATATATTTAATTATAATTAAAAAACGCGTTCTGACGTTCAAACGTTTCAAATTTTTGTGTTGTACATTCAACGACTAAAAGCAGTCTTCTTGGAAAAATTCAAACATTTTTTTGGATGTCACTTTTTTTTCCAATTCCTTCCGTTATGCCAGAAACAAATGGGCCACGCCCCTTCTAATGCCCAAAAGTCACGAGCCCTTAAGCAACTTTCATGATTCTTTTTCGAGGCAGTACGGGGATATACATAATATATATATACAGGAAACATGTTATTATCGATCGAATGTCTGTAATTATATCTTTTATATTATTACTTTTGGTTTTAAAGTAAAAACTTGCACAAATTAACATACTCACACACATTAAAGTGGTGTAGTAGCTTCGCACGATAGTCGTTGATGTTCGGCGAATACTTGAGATCTCTTTTTCCCAGAAAACTTACGTATCCGAGATTCAGCCGTAAGCACCTTAATAAATGCAGTTGCTTCTCTGGAAAGGAGTAAGAAGGTCACTAAGAAGGTCGACATGATCCAAGGATATTTTAAGCCGATTAAAATAATCGTCATCCTAACAGCGGTCCAGTTAACAGCCTTGGTTCCAATGCTTAACAGTCTTTGATAGTCAATCGCAGTAATCTGGCGATCAGCAAATGGTCGATCTCCGCCTTCCTCATCAACTCATGCTCTGTGGTCTATGTTATTTTCCACTCACGGGCGAGGCAGAACATTGTACATTGTATCGATGTCACAACAGGTATATCGACACCAGTTTGTTGTTCGAACACAAAACACCCCACTGTACCATTACCAAAGACAAGCTATCCACGATGTACAACACTACTTTGAAACAACAGAGAGCACAATCTCTGATCGCCCGCGATGGCTATCTGGTGACTATATTAAAACCAAGAAAGCAGAAATCAACTTCTTGTTGAAAGAGGGCATTTGTCCTCCCTTTAAAGGCCAGGGGTAAGTAGCAATGCAGTCCGTTGCATATGGTCAGCAAATCAAGAAATACAAAGATTATTTTCTATCCGTTCTGGAAATCCTTCGCATGTATGGACTTTGCATCAACATAAACAAAACCCAACTGGCCCAAGCCAGTTGGTTGTGTTCTAACACACACGGAATTAAACCTTCAATTCAGCAAGTGGCACATATCTATGCCTTCCTCTCAGAACTACTTAAGAATGTTAGAAATAAAGGAACAATGTTTGATCGAATGGACACCAAAACGGATATCCGCCTACTATGCAAAGTACCACAGATGCAGGTTTATTGGTTCATCCTTTCCTAAAGCACAACTTATGTGCATCTGATTTTGCGATTGCAAGGGGATTAGACCTGTAGTTCGTGGGTCGTTGGTAGCACTCTGCACTCTTTTTTCGCAAAACTAACCGACAGTGAAAAACTACAGCACGTACGATCGGGAATCACTCCCTATTTATGAAGCAAACAAGTATTTAAGCAACTTCCTCGTCCGAAATCATACATGTCAAAGGATCTGATGATGTAGTCGCGAATGCAATGTCTTGACCATGAGCACATGATCACAATCACCATGGCAAAGTCTGTCAGTTTACAGAAAATCGATGATGGCATCGATTTCGAGCTTTCAAATTTACTGATAAGAACTACTTCGTGCTTGTAACTCTTAATTGTGACGTATTAACTAATTTCTGTGACGTATTAACTAAGCTGGCCGAAGGCTATTAATGGGGCACTTTTTGGTCGAAATGGCTTGTACGTTTTGAAACACCTAACACAATTAAGAGACTCAATATGAATCTGCGCTATTCACGAAGCTGCCTCAGCGGCTGCAGAGATTGTCTACGAAACAGCAACACCCGATTCGAAAAATAGGTCCGACTTTACCTGCCAATGGGCCCACCCTACTTCATCCCGTTTAAGTCGTAAAGTGCAATGATGATCAAAAGGAAGAAGCCGTCTGTTCATCGTATCAAACCTGCCGGATTGGCTTATAACGATGCCCACCATATAGATGCGGCGGATATATGAGAAAAGACAAGTTCAGTTAAACACACCGTGACGTCACCACTGGAGAGCGACTACTGGGGCGCCCCAGTCGCAGAGCCACCTGGCGTTGGATATAAAATCTGAACTGCGATGTATTCCATGGATCATCTCGAACAAAAACTCATTTCCCGTTTTCCCGCTCATCTAGTGGGTCCAAGTATTTCACATCTCTGTAAATCAGTTGTCACGCATTTGTCAATAAAGATAGTTAATGTAAGTTGCATGGGTAGCTATAGCAAATACATTTCTTTCTCCATGTGCATTACTGTAACAGAAACAATACATACATATATTTTAATCGAATGTCGTATGTTGGATGTTATTTTGTTAAAAACTGGAATTTTTTGCTGATACTGTTATATGAGTTATATGATCTTCAACTTTAAAAGGTTCTTTCCTAGCGGAGTATAATAGGCAATTGACCATGCCTAACTTATAATCCCAAATCTTGTAATCGATAGAAGTCGGGAGCTAATTTTCGCATGGCGTAACGAACTTAATAAAAATACGATATAAAAAACTGTGTCTTTATAAACTGTACTAAACGTTATTTCCTTTACACATTTTTTTTTACCGTTTTTCGTAGAGAAAAATGTATCGTTTATAAGTATAGTTTAAAAGTATGTAGAAGGAATCGTTTTGAACTCTATAAAGTGTATAGATTTAATCAGGCTCACTAGGGGAGGCGATTTGTCCATGTTCGTCTATCTGTCCGTATGATCGTTGTGATCTCAGGGCAAATGAAAGCTAGAGTATTGAGATTAGGTATGCAGATTCTGGTAATAAAGATATAATAAAGTATATAAAGATAATTAAAAAGTAGGGAACAGGTACACGAACGATTTTCCGAGCGCAATTAATCGAATATGTCGTAAATATCGATCAGCGTTTACCTCTCAAGGATACAAGCCAAGCTTTGGTTTAATTAAACAAGTTGGAACACTTTTGTTAAGCAGCTCGACAATGCAATCATGACATTTGAAAAATTATAATATGATACAGATAGATACACACTTTTTTAGTGTTGTAAATAGACACATGCCATGTCAAATGTTGATAACAAGGTGCTCGTAGATAAGAACCAGTCAACAATAATCAAAGAAAATGATTTTGGCAATTTTAATCGAAAATGCACTAATCCATTTAAATCAGAAAAGCGTGTTCTAAGCGACTAAGCGAGATTAATATTCATAAAATATCAACAGTTTTTATACCCGTTACTCGTTACTAGATTCGTGAAAATTATGTACCAGGCAGAAGAAAGCGTTTCCTACCATATAAAGTACATATATTCTTCAGGATATATAGCCGAGTCGAACTGGCCATGTCCGTCTGTCCGTCCGTCTGAACGTCGTAAAAGCTAGAAAGATTAGGCACGCAGATGCAAAAGATATAGACGCAGCGCTTATATGTACATATGTACATATGCACATAGAGCTCACTCTAACGTCCACAAAAAAAAACTGCCAAGCCCACACTTTTAAAAATTGCTTTAATATTTTATCTTTTTTTTTTAAGTCTTGTACATTTCTATCGAATTGCCATTACATTTTTAAGTTTTTTTTATGTTTTTTGCCCAATTGGTACCGATATTCCAGATAATGTTGAACATTTTCGTTCGCACTTCCACTAGCTGAATAACGGGTATCTGATAGTCGGGGAACTCGACTATAGCATTCTTGTTTTCTTTCCAACTTTCGGTATGTTTATTTCCTGAGCCCCACCAATTCGCTCGCTAAAAAGCAGGGGGATATTATATATCTACTGAGGCAGAATTTTACAAGGGAGAATTTAAAGAATTCTTTTAAAAAATAATAAAATTACAAACAATAATTTGTGGGAGTTCGCTTTTTGCGGTTTGTCGTGGATATGGCCGAACATCCCCGATCTGATGTTCGGGGTACTCCAATAATATCATAGTTATTAATTATTTGTAATGTTTTTTGTTTTTTTATAGTCGGCCATTTTTGTTGCGCCACTGCGAAGCTTCAACAACCATGGATGCCACACAGCTAACGGAACTAATGGGCAGCCATGATTTTATGCAGTTACAACATCAATTGCATCACAATAACAACAATTACAACACAGATGGACACAATGGATTGTCTTCAGAATCGGCGGAGGGAAGTTCCCGACCCGTCCGTCGCGCCACCAGACGAACATCACAGGTAGATCGTAAAAAGGCCAAGCCGATGGGCCAATTATAATGCCTTACATTTTTGCTGCTTCCAGCTAAGCAATAACACTTATGACCTGGAGATGACAGACTCCAGTTCGCAAAGCGATGACACAAGCGGCGGAGGCGGCAGCAGCAACGGAGGTGGCAGCGCCACTAACACTGGGCATCCGTCCGGCGGCTCTCTGGGCGGTCAGGGGCCATCAAGCCGCGGCCGGGTCCAGCAAACTAGCTTAGGAGTCTGTTCATCGACCATTGCCCCGAACAGTGCCAGCTCCAACTCCTCGAACGCGAACGGCAACGCAAATAGGCGACGGAAAGGAGCCCTGAACGCTAAGGAGCGGAATATGCGACGTCTGGAGTCAAATGAACGCGAACGAATGCGGATGCACAGCCTAAACGATGCGTTTCAATCGCTTCGAGAGGTCATACCTCACGTGGAGATGGAGCGACGGCTGTCCAAGATTGAAACTCTCACGCTGGCCAAAAACTATATCATAAATCTGACCCACATAATACTCTCCAAGCGCAACGAGGAGGCGGCGGCCTTGGAGCTGAACTCGGGGGCCGTTGGCGGAGTGTTGCTCTCAAGTCTTGCCTCCGAAAGTGGAGGGCCGGTAGCGAGTGGCATTCCTACAAATTCCAGTGCTACGACACTCTGCTTCGAGAACGCCCTGGCCAACGGAGGCGCCTTCGACTGTGCCCTTTTGGCAGCCACCGATGGCAGCTTGCTGAACGCTGCCACAGTGACCGCCAGCCCCGCGATGCAGAGCATCCAATCACAAGCCATACACTTGCAGACACCGATGGAGCAGCAGCAACAGCAAGCCAGCCATCTTTCGCACCACCAGCAGGCGATTCATGGCCATGGCCACCTGGGGGCCAGCATGAGCGTTCAAACGCAGCAGCAGCCTACGCTCATACTAAATGGCAATACATCGGTGGGAATGGGAGTTGGAATCGGGGTTGGAGTCGAAGTGGGAGTTGGGGTGGGAAACAATGCGCCGAACTTTGCAGATATCAATGATAACTTCGACGAGCCCTTCCGAGAGTTTCTGTAAGCCATCCTTAAGGCGTTGGTTCCGGGATCGTAAGAAACGGCATAGGGAAATGGTTGCACGCATGTATAAATACAGTATAAAGCTCAAAAACGATATTTATGAACCCCAGCGCGGCGGATTCACCGCCTTGAGTGTTCGAATTGTGTCATTAATGAAACATTTTTGCAATAAACGTAACCAGCAAATATTTAATATTGGATTTACAATGAAAAAAGGACGCGCAAGAAACTTTTAATGTTATAAAAAAAGGATTTAAAATGTATAAGAATAATTGATATTTACTTTCATTGCCCGAACAGGTGTTTCCATAAACCCTTAGAGAGTGTTATAATTTTGTTCAAATGATTGTAAAGTTGTAAAGAAGCGTTACTGGGCGAATATAGGAAGGCATTATTTTCTGTCCGAGAATCAGACAAGTCGGCAATTTTAAAAGATAAAAAGACAGATTTTCAAATATTATGTAGCATTCTTCTTACTAAGAATATGAATCACTTTCTAAAATGATTATTTTTAATTTTTGAGTGCTTTGATTGTTGCAAGTGTATAACAATCTATTGGATAGATTAAGTAAAACTTACATAACTAACGAAGTTCAAGATAAATGGACATATGCAAGCAGTAAATCGACTGAAGTATGAAGCAGAAAATCGACTGCTTTACAAAGTAGGACTGCCTTAGATTGCACACGGGGGCCATTGCTTGCTCATTAGATGCTATGAAATATTATTAACATAATGGTCTGTTTATTAAAATTGTTTGCTATTGGTAAGCTAAATAAACTACTTAAACACATAAACTGATACATTAACCATGTAGTCGCCAGGCTGACGGCCAGAACGCTGAGTCTCAACGTCAAAGAAATTTTTTTGATGAGCTTAGCAATACTCATTTAAGTCAGAAAAAATTCCGATTAAGTCCGATTAAAAAGTTGTAAAAGTTAAAAAATATTTAATGAAAAGACAATAGCTAGTAATGTCACCTCGTGTACAATCTGTAAAGCAATCTATTCGCTGTTTTGCACTTTAAAAAGGTTTGATTGAATGATCTTCAGAAAGTTTATGCGCATTTTATACCCGTTACTCGTAGAGTAAAAAGTTATACTAGATTCCTTGAAAAGTATGTAACAGGCAGAGGAAACGTATCCGACCATATAAAGTATATGGTCAGTATCAATTGATCAGTATCAGTCTGGCCAAGTCCGTCTACCCGTCCGTCTGTCGATCTCAGAAACTACGAAAGGTAGAATGTTGAGATTAAGCATTCCAGAGACATAACGCAGCGTAAGTTTATTTTCAAATGTTGCCACGCCCACTCTAACCTCCACAAACCGCAAAAAACTGTCACGCTCACATTTTTGAAAAATGTTTTGATATTTTTTCACTTTTGATATATTTCTTGAATTTCTATAGATACGCCAAAAAACGTTTTGCCACGCTCACCGTAACGCCCACAAACCGCCCAAAACTCTCACGCCCACACTTTTTTAAAAAATTGTTAAGTTATTTTTCATGTTATTATTTTTTCTTCAATTTCTACTAATATTCCAGCAAATTTTTAAATTTCTCGTTAGCACTTTCACTAGCTGAGTAACGGGTATCTGATAGTCGGCGAACTCGACTATAGCATTCTATCTTGTTAATAATAAAGAGCTAGTTAAATTAACCTATTCAAATATCAAGAAATAAGTATACTTTAGATCAGACCTAAAACTATTACTAAGTTATAGTAAATATAAGTAACGGAACTTAGTCGTGAAGCACATTTATAATCTAATTTCACAGGTACTCATTTACGTTGAAACGAAAGAGAACTACGAAGAAGGCTTATGTTCGATAATGCTTAAAACTATGGTTTAAGTTTTGTACATATGTATGTATGTAAAAACAAATTCTTCAGATCGATTTTAGATAATTATCTATGCGCCCATATATCAATGTATCTTAAGAATGTATGTATCTATGTATATCGAAAAAGTTAAAGACTTAGCACTGAAATTAATGCATTCATGTAAAATAGTAAAATTAAGAGCGCTTTATCCCTTTAATTATTTTAATTGAATTTTTCTAATGTATTCAATCGGCCTTATCTCTGCACAAATGTATATCATAGGAACTTATATAAAGTGCATATGTATGATTGTTTGTAATAGCAGCAAAAACATGGAATCAATTACCGTTAACTAGCGGTCCTGCCGTCTGAGGAACGACGGTCTACAAAAGTGACGCCTCAATAAGTTAATTTACCACCCATGATCTTTTTAATGCACTTGAAACCTACCATGAATATACGAGTAAGAGCGGGAAATGTGGTAGGAGGGGTGTGTGGGCGGACAGGAAAGCAATTAACGCTCCGAAACTAAAATTGGCACACTTCCGTTATGGACCGCCAGACGTAAGACACCGTAAGCGTGAAAGGGACGCCGATAGCAACGCTCGGACGGTAAACAGTAATAAAATAACGGTGCTCAGTGGGTGGCGAATTCAGTTAAATCGACGAGAGGAGTTTGTAAGTGTGAGTGAGTGAGAGAGCCTGGGGTCTTAGCAATAATTAAGTGAAAAATAGTAGTTGGGGGGCTCTTTCCTCTTCGGTGTCGAGTTAAGCTTGTTGATTATGTTTGATTAGTCAGGATTTCGTGTTTTGGGTAGGTCGCAGGAAGTGAAGCTCTTCCACAAACTCAAACACATCGATGTACTCGAAGCAGTGCAAGCAAGATTCTGTACTGTTTCAAAACTTTTTTGAACCGTTCTCACGTCCAAGGAATGTAAAAAGTTACAACTTGAACTAAAGGGCTTATGATATTTACTAAAAATAAAATTTAAATACTAAATTCTCGGAACTAAACGTGTAAATCCTAGTAAAGTTTTTCACTTCCTCTGGAATCCCTGTTAAAATAATGGCCTTGTTATTTGGTATTCAGTTTCCAAGCAATGTACCTGTATATTCTAACTATACAGGATCTCCAAGTTTTATTTTAATGTTTTCAAGGTTGTTGGAATTTGGTTTCCAATAATCTTTTTTTTAATCAATTAATCTTCGCGAAGTTCAAACATTTTTCAACCAACCTGTTTATTCTTGGTGAATTTTGCATATAAACACATATGTATATGTACATGTACATGCATATAAGTTATTTTCTTAAGTCAAAAGCCGAGAAGCAAACGCTGGAAATCCGCAATTAGACAAAGACATCGAAAGTTCTGAGCGGGTTCTATAGAGCAATATTCCTAAACAGAGAAAGAATGCCAAATTTTAATGCAACAGAAGCAAATGGATAAAATCGAATTCCGTTACGATTACGCTAAATATACGCAAAGTAACCCGAAATGTATTAGTAAATAAAAAATTGCAATATAGATGTATAGCAAGCTCCCTAGGTGTGTAATTTAAATGATTTTCAACAGAAAGAAACCTCTATAATATATTTAATGTTATATAGAAATACACCAAAAGACCCAATATTAATTCAAAAATTATTAACCACTTCTCAGTTTGGAAAATTTTATTAGGAGTAGCCTATTTTGCAGAGCATTTGCTTAGTACAAGGGAAGAAATTACAAATTCATGATTATATAGTAACTGTAACTGCAAAGCTGTACACATTCTCACGTTCAAATGATAAGAATATTTAATAAAGTAAAGAGTACATTCGAATGTTAATTCCCTTTTTTCTTATGAAGGACTCAAATTTTCAAATACAAACTGGCTCTGTATCCATCTAGTCTAAAGACTAGATAAATATATTATAATAATAATAATTATAAATATGCATGTATTATAAATAATATGCATGCTGAATCTCAGCTTTCTAACTTTTGTACTTCCTGAGATCACAGCGTTCATACGGTTAGAGAGGAGGTTAGTGAGGAACATAAGAGAGTTCTAATACCAATTTTTGACGCCAAATTATTTGTTATTCAACTAACAAACTTAACAAAACTTAACACCACAAATTATTTTTTTACTAAACTAAAGTTCCTTATATTGAGCTATTTTTCTTAATTTAAAATAGCGTTTGCATATACAAACTTATACAATGCTCAAAAACTTTTATTTGTTTTGTATTTGCCAGAGATGTTTTTGTTTTCTAATAAGTTTTAAAAGAAAATGTGTTACATTTATATTAAATTTTGAGAAATATCAATAGCTCTATACACCTTAAAAAAAATAGTTAGAGCCGTTATATTATATTTTAATATTATATTATATTTTTGGACGTATTTTTATACGCGTTACTCGTAGAGTAAAAGGTTATACTAGATTCGTTGAAAAGTATGTAATATAAAGTATATATATTCTTGATCAGGATCGATAGCCGAGACGATATGCCCATGTCAGCCTGTCCGTCTGTCTGTTCGACTGCCTGTCCGTCCGTATGAACGTGGAGATCTCAGGAACTAGAAAGTTGCGATGTGGCATGCAGATTCGAGGGATATAGACGCAGCGCAAGTTTGTTAAATGATGTCGCCACGCCCACTCTAACGCCCACACTTTTAAATGTTTTTTTTTTATTTTTCAAATACTTTATTAGTCTTGTAAATTTTTTCTGGATTCGTCAAAATATGGTTCGCCATGCCCGTTTTACGTCCACAAGAGCTGCCACGCCCATACTTTTAAAAAATGTTTCGATATCTTTTCTATTTTTATTGGTCCTGTATATTTGTATAGATTTGCTAAAAAAAAAAGTTGACTACGCCCACTGTAACGCCCAAAAACCGCACCAAAATTGCCCCTCCCACACTTTTAAAACCTATTTCATTGTATTATTATTTTTTGCCAATTTCTATCGGTATACCAAGAACACTTTGGCCACGCCCACTCTAAAAGCAAAATACCGACGAAAACTGTAACGCCCACACATTTGAAAATTTTTTCATTTAATTTTTTATTTCCCAATATTTACCGATATGCCAGAAAAATGAGGACATTTTTCGTTTGGATTTCCACTAGCTAACAGGTATCTGATAGTCGGAAAACACGACTACAGTCTTAAGTATGCATGCGTTAACGTTTTGATTGGTGGATAAGTCGATGGGATTGGACATATTTTCATTTTTTCGGGTATGTGGGGGTATATAACTTCGCTTGCGGTCGTTGATTTTGTTGGTAAATCACGGAAAATGTTGTAAAGAAATAAATAACGGCGAGTGTGTTTTTGTAATTCTTGGTCGTTGAATCGACTGAACCAACGAAATCAATGTGGTAAGTATGTAATGGACCGTCTTCCTTATGCAATGGATATAGCCAGCCTTCCTGCTTGCCCCGTTTACGATTGCCAAAATACACAAAATACACGGTATACATCAGGCGATACATTTTCGTATTTTTTCGTCAAAGACTGGAATGGAACGCAGACTTTGCTTGTCTAGTGTCTTGGTTTAAAAATTGCAGACATTGACTATCTTAAATGGGATGCCAAAGAGATCAACTCTGAACTTGGTTCGATAATTGCATGAACCTCTAACTCGTAGCTTGAGTACTTATGCAAAACAGCCGTAGTTTTGATGAAGATCAATAGCCGAGTCGATCTGGTCATGTCCGTCTGTCCGTATGAACGCCTCGATTTCAGAAACCGTAAAAGCTAGAAAGTTGAAATTAAGCATGCAGATTCTAGTGACATAGATGTAGTGCTTAAAGCTGCCACGCCCACACTTTTGAATCATTTATTTTTTTTTTTTATTGTATTGTATTGTATTATTTTTTCCCCCAATTTCTATCGATATGCCAGAAAAATGTGCAAATTTCTCGTTCGCACTACCATTAGCTGAGTAACGGGTATCTGCTAGTCGTGGTATCTGATAGTATCTCTTGTTCAGACTCCGTCTTCTGCAAAATTTCCACGCTTTATGCATTATCTTTCATGCGATACAATTATTCCAAAACACTTTTGCTAAGATGTCGTTCGCTCTCCCCAAGGTGCATGTGTATTTGTTTGGCGCTCACTCTAAGCTAGCTCAACAACAATTTTTGCAGAATGAAAATACTTAAAAAAAACACTGTCACCTAAGTCATATACATTTCAAACCAGTGCTGTTTTTTTTAAATTAGGTATTAAAAGAAATATCTCATTTGAGGTAAAATAAGTTTCAATGCATAATTTTTGGTTTTATTTTTGCTAGTGAAAACATTTGTGGGCAATTTTTATTTTGTCATATAACAGGTCTGTAACGCACCTTTTTAATATTTGTATTAATAATAAATAAAAAAAAAAAATAAAACTAAAGGACCTATTTTTCTGATACATAGCTTATAAAATTTGATAAAACAAACCCCGAGTCCACCCTATTCTTGAAAGGTTACAGCCCTTGGTTGTCAAATCCGAATAGGTTTGTGAAAAGGGTAAATCAAATCACGGTGGAACAATTTTAGAGTTGCTTTTAAAGATTAGATTAGAGGTATTTGTCATCTAAATGTTCCTGAAATATTTTATATTATTCACGGGTGCGACAGGATGTGAGTGAAAAAATATTTATAAATATTCTTGATCAGAATCTCCAGACGCGTCGATATGGCAATGTCCGACGAAAGCTACTAAAATAATTATTATGTCTTTGGTCTTACTGTGTGCTCTTTCTTGACAGCAAATATATATTCACTCATACAGCGAAACACAAACAGTAAAAAGTTCTTAATAAATTAAAATTTTAAGGCATATAACGCATCAATGATATTAAAGACTTATTAATAAAAATTGTATGCAAGCCTGATTTTATTTTCACTACGATCTTAGTTTTATAATAGAAATCTCCTTTTAGCAGAACTTAAGACCCCATATTAATCCCAAACGAAACAAGGTTATACTATTTTTTATTACGGACTCAAATCGAAAACAAATCCGGATGGCAGCTCCTAACTTTTGCATAATTCAGTATGGCAGCTCCCGAATTGTGTAGAAATCGGGACGGCAACTCAAGAGTGAAACGTTATTTTAAAATTGCAATGAGCGAAATAAGTATGATATTCGAAATATTATCATTACATTTTACATATTTTTGATGAAAAGGCATTTTTATCGATGTAGGTATTGAAAGGCAAAATAAAGTGAAGTTAATTGTCTTATTTTGGTATAAATCATTTCACCTTCATTTTGACCCTAGACGTTTCCCAATGCGAAGGATTCCCACTAGCCCATGTATGTATGTATTTACAAAAACAACTTTTGACGAGTTTATATAAACAACAAGCGTATATACAAAATTGATTTGTGAAAAAGAAATATACGCGACGAAAAAAGGCTACTGAACTACAGAAGTGAACTATCATTAAGTATCTTGAAATAATCTTCCCCGCAAGAGGAGAAAATGGCAAATAGTGCAAACAGTTAGCGAGCATTCTCGCATTGTCGTGATTGGCGTGAAACATCGATGACCCTGCGCTATCGATACCCCTATCGGACTATCACATCGCAGCTCTAATGTAAAGTCCCACTTGGAAATATCCATCGAAAGTTGTTGTTTCGATTAGAGCGCGGGTGCGAGTAAATAAAACGAAACCATTGGGTCCTAGATTTGAAAGGTATAAACATTTGGGGGAAACCAACTGCAATAGGTGGATGCGGTACCCTCCGCCATACAAATTGGTATTAGCAGAAGTTCAGAAGTAATTGTGTGTATGTGTGTAGTTTGTGGAGAGAGAGGAAAAGTGGCTTAGAGCGAGTTACCAATGTGCAGTTATTTCGACTTCTCCCTGTGCTACCTGAGATCTAGAGTGCGGGGCGTAAATCTGTTGACTGCGCTGTGTGCTTGCGGCAAAAATGAGATTTGAGCCTGGTGTCGTGCTTGCCTCACGATGTGCTGTAGGCCGTAGTGGTGGATGCCTCTGGTAATGGGACGCTCATCTCCAATTCAGCACAAACGGTCAGTCAAAGATTCCCGTAGTGTGGGAATTTCCTATATTTATTTATCCGCCGTCCATGCCTGTGAGTGGAATCCGGAAGTGGACGATGGCACGCAACCAGAAGCGTCATTATGCACACATGCAACTGGACATGCGGGAGGGACTCCCCTTAATAGAGCTGCTAGGCAGAAATTGATTCATATGTAAATATACCTGTATGGAAGTAAATACACACATACCATACGACAATAGTGAGATTGAGAACAGCCGGTTACTCACAGTGGCGCCTTTTCAATTCGCCAAAGAAACGGAAGGGGCAGAGGATGTGGTTATCGGGTGAAATAAATATCTCTAAATATAAAGATATAACGTTAAGTTTAATCAGAATAATAGTTTGAATTCAAGCTCATGGTTATTGTGAACTAAAATCAAGTTTTTTTAGAGATCTACGTAATTTAAAGGCTCTTGATTTTATGAGTAATTTAATTTAATAAAATAAATACACGAGTATTCAAAATTCTTTAAGTTGTCGTTCAAAAAACCATGATTAGATTAGAATTTTTTTATTGTTTTAAATGTTTAGATGGGAATCTAAAAACTATTTAAGTCTGCAGAACCATAAAACTGCTCTTATCGCAATGGTCGTTTGGTGCCTGGGTGCAAAGCAGTCAAATCATTATAAAATCGGGAATAGGAACACTATCAAACAAGGAAGCGTTCATCTTCAGCGCAAAGCATACAATTTAGTAGCAATATTAAACGGAATAAAAGAGGAGGCTTGCTTCTAGAAGCCGAAGTATTTTGAAATTGCAATATAAACAGTCGTCAATCGTAGAGTTCATACTCTTAATCAAGGATGTTACATATGTATATATTACATATATGTTTAAGTCAACATAATAACATAACATTTGAAGATGAACTGCTTTTAACGGTTTCACACCACTGTTTCGAATTAAGCCTTTTTACGCAGTACTAACAAATAGATGATCCGTGTGGCGGGTGTAGCTCCTCTTTACGCAGCTGACACAATTTCTAAGCTATCGATTTTGCCTTCCGTTTCCCTTCCTATTTCTTTGTATATCGAAGTCTTGCCTATTGTCGGGTAATTGCTGGTAGCACTACTAATTTGAAAACCAAGCTATTTCATTGCAGAGTTGAACTCTCATGAACTCATTCAAACAACACAATAATTACAGCAGACGCGATGTATCTATGTATTATGGTGTTTCATATGTTGTCGTTGTGGCAAAATAAATGAAAAGAAAACAATGACGCCATTGCAGTTTTTATTTATTATTAATATTACTTTGAAATATTAAAATAAACTTTGTATAATCATATATTCGGTATACATTTTTTTTGTATAATTACTGCAAGGGTGTATAAGAATCGGCTTTCGGGAGCTAGCTTCCTTTCTGGCCTAAATTCAATTTCGATTGGAAATTTATGCTTTTCTATTTAAAATCTTTTTTCGCCTGTCACTTCCATCACGTATCCCATAATAGCAGCACTTAACTATATCGATCTTTTTTGTTATAAATTTTAATTAAAATATCAGAAATTTTATATAGAAAATTTTATAGAAATTCTTCTGTTCTTCTTAATTCTACAACAATATCGATTTGTAGGCAAAACCAATCCGAATTCAGGTCGTCCGTATAGTCTGCTTTGCTGTCACTCTATTTAAAGAATATATAATGCCAAATAATAATACGTTCAAAACTAGGACACACTACAACACTGCCACTTAGAGAATTAAAAATGGCTATTGGTTTCCATTAGGTTGTCAGAAGGTGGGATTTTGCCAACCGAAAGCAGAGTTAAATTGTTTGCTGCCCTTCAGGGTGTCTACGTATGTACATATGTCTGAACCAGGGTGCTTATGCCTTCTAGTTTCGCTGTTGGCATAGTTAGAGCTCAAATTCGTTCCAATTTCCAGTAACTCATAAATTGGAACCAAGTGTGTGGGGCCAAACATTTTATTGATTTGCTGTCGCCGTTGTCCTGCACAATCGATTTTAAATTTAGTTTAACCCCTTTTTGCCCACAGTCCAAATAAAGCAGGCAGCGAGTTACAAAGCAACACTTTGGAGTATAATGGCATCTGGCGGCTTAACATGTGTAAAATACTTGACATTCTTTTGCAATCTTCTTTTTGCGGTAAGTCAGCAAAACTGTCGAAATTTACTTTATATTAATTTTATTAATCGTATTTCTAATACTTATGAAAAAATTTAAAACAATTAATGCTTGAACTGGGGAAGTGCCTTTATCCTTTTTATTATATAGAATACTTCTAGAAAAATATTTTTATTAATAAAAATAATTTATTGCAATTATTTTAACATTTAAAAATATTTTAATATGCATTGTATGTCTTATCTAACAAAGCTCACTGGACTTCTTATCTTTCTGGTGGGAGGCATGGTCCAACTAAACTATGCACACTATTCGAACTTCGTTAGCGATCACATCTGGACCGCTCCTATTATACTAATGATTGTCGGTGCCGCTGTAGCGGTTATTTGCTTCTTGGGATGTTGTGGAGCTTTGAAAGAGAGCAGCTGTATGATACTGAGCTTTGCCCTTCTTGCCGTGGTGATATTTTTGTTCGAGATCGGACTGGGCCTTGCTGGCTATGTGAAGCATACCGGTCTTCATCATATTATGGAGAGTCAGTTTAACTCGACCATGCAGCACTATAAGGAACGGGCTGACTATCGCGATGCTTGGACTTTGCTGCAAACCGAGCTAGATTGTTGCGGCACCAATGGACCAAACGACTGGGAAACCGTCTTTCCTAATAGTACCCTGCCTGCGGCCTGCTGCTCTGAGATTAATTTAAGCGAGGCCAAGGAATGTACAAATGTTCACGCAACCCAGCGTGGCTGCTTGGGAAAGCTTTTAGATATATTGGATTCGAAGACTTTGTTATTGGCCTCCGTTGTGTTGGGAGTAGCGGGTATTCAGGTGCGTCGCTATACTAATATGTACTCAATTAAATTAACAGAAAATGTTTCCATAGATGCTCACTATACTGTTCGCTTGCTGTCTCTATCGTTCGTTTCGCAGGAGCTACGATCATGTTTAGAATGCGAAGCGAGGATCCCGTATACCGCCTTTAAAATTGAACAACATTTTTTCTAGTTTGTAGTTTGGACCATGCGTCACATGCCCATTGAAGGCTGATTAGCTTATTGATATCTAGGGCATTTATTGCGTTTTATATTAGTTCTTCAATTTATGCATATGTAATAATATGGGCAAATCCCATCCCATTTTCTTTGAAAAAACTAAACTTCTCTATTTACGTTTGTCCTTTAAGTATTTAAACTTCTCTTTTTTGGGTCCTCGAAACCAATTTAAGCCAAATTGGAATTGTAGTAAAAAATGTGGCTTCAGGATCCAGAAAATTAAATTTGACTTACAGACCAAAAACATTATGGAATATACCGACTGATCTGTATAACTATGCGTATTGTCTGTTTTTCGGAAATATTGTTATATTTAAACACGGTTATGCAATTTGGTGAGAAAACATCACCAAACGAATGTCAACTGCATTTCAATTACTTATTATTTATGTAACTAATAAAACACAATATTTATATATATGGTATTTAGGTTTTTATGCATTCATTTTCTTCATATAAGTAGCATTTCTTTCTTCATAAAACATTGTATCACAGTACACTTAAATAAAAGCAAACCACAAAAAAACACATTTAATAGAAATGCCTAAACATATCGAATTTACAATTTTGATATCGAATCACGTTGTGTTGATTGCATCACAAAACACTACATACATAGTTGTCTACAAGTCTACATCCGAATAATAATATGATAACTGTTTATAATGTTTTTTATGTGGACTTAAGTATTTTAAGGATATTACCAATTTAAATATCTATTGAAAAGTACCGGTCTAACAGCCTTTTTTGAGAAATATTTTTCATTTTATAGTTTAGCTTGTGGCCATTTCTATCGCTACGTCAACCACATAGTGAAGTATCTTTCTAGCACTCCCACTAGCTGAGAAACGAGAACTATAGCATTCTCTCGTCATTATTTATACCCGTTACTCGTAGAGTAAAAGCCTATACTAGATTCGTTGAAAAGTATGTAACAGGTAAAAGAAAGCGTTTCCGACCATATAAAGTATACATATCAGGATACAAAGTATAGATCAGGATCAATAGCGGAGTCGATCCATGTCCGTCTGTCCGTCCGTATGAACGTCGAGAACTCAGTAACTATAAGGTGTTGGAATTAATTCGTTGCGTTTTACGAAAGATGGCGCGAGCCAACTATTCACAGTCACACAGGCAAAAATAAATACTCTCCTGGAAGCTACTGAAATAGCGCATCTTCAGTATATGACCAGTATATGACATTGCCTTATTGTGTTCATAGCAATTGTTGTGCAGTATCAAACATGTCGAAGTTTGTGCCTGAAAAATAGTTTTTGCGGGGAGTGTTACTTCATTATTTTAACATGAAGAAAAGTTATCGTATTTTAGTGGAAGTATACGGTGAATATGCTCTCGCTGAGCAAACATGCAGAAAGTGGTTTGCGCGGTTTAGAAGTGGAAATTTTGACGTGTAAGACAAGGAACGTCCTGGACAACCGAAAAAGTTCGAAGATGAAGATTTGGTGTCGTTGCTCGATGAAGACCCGTGCCAAACACTTCTGGAGTTGTCCACATCACTTGGAGTCGACTTTTCGACGGTCGGAAAACGGCTCAAAGCCATAGGAATGTTACAAAAACAGGGAACGTGGATTCCATATGAGTTGAAGCCAAGGGACATTCAACGGCGTTTAAGCACCTGTGAGATTCTTCTTCAAAGGCAGATAAGGAAACGCTGAAATGGGAGGTTCTGCCCCACCAGCTATATTCACCGGACATTGCTCCATCCGATTATCATTTGTTCCGATCCATGGCGCATGGCTTGTCAGAGCAGCACTTCGAAAACTACGACATGACCAAAAATTGGATCGATTCATTCATCGAATCGAAAGAAGAATTTTTTCGACGCGGTATTCGAACCAAAAAGATGGCAAAAAGTTGTAGATAACGATGGACAATACTTTGAATAATGCTACTGTAATGATACCCTCATAATAAATCACGAAACTTTGCAAAAAAACGATACGAATTAATTCCAACACATTTTGTATATAAAAGCTAGAACATTGAGATTAGCCATGCAGATTTCAGAGACATATTTGTTTTATTTTTATAATTAGTTATTTTTCTTTATAATATCAGTACATAGGCCAGTTTCAAACGTTTTAAAAGTGTACAAGGTAAGCCTTGTAAGTTTGGATAATATTTAGAAGTCTGAATAATTCTGAGCTGTAGACAGGAAGCAACCAAATCTCAGATGTTGCTGAAATTGCATATTTTAATTCTAGTATTCATAGGAAAATAATTATTTGAAGTAGGGTTTCGACATAAGTCATGGATCATTCTGCCACCCACTAATTGCTTTAATTGTCACTTCGAACCAGCAATTGATAATGAATAAATGTACCTCGTTCAAATTGTATTAAAATTAATTCCTGTTTGATTTAAGTTACTTTTTAAAATGTTATTCTGTATGCTGTTTTTTTATACCCGTTACTGGTAGAGTAAAAAGGGTATACTAGATTCGTTAAAAAGTATGTAACAGGCAGAAGAAAACCTTTCCGACTATATAAAGTACATATATATATTCTTGATTAGGATCAATAGCTGAGTTGATCTGGGCATGCCCATCTGTCCGTATGGACGCCTCGACGTGAGGAACTACAAAAGCTAGATTGTTGAGATTAAGCATGCAGCTCCCAGAGACTTAGACGCGCGCAAGTTTCCAAATGTTGCCACGCCCACTTCTACGCCCCCAAACCGCCCAAATCTGCCACGCCCACAATTTTGAAAAATTTTGTGATATTTTTTCATTATTTATACATTTTGTACATTTCTATAGATCTACACTTTTTGCCACGCCCACTCCAACGCCCACAAGCCGCACAAAACTGTCACGGCCACAATTTTGAAAAATGGTGCGATATTTTTTCATATTTTTTATATATTTTGTAAAATTCTACTGATTTACCAAACAATTTTTTCCTCGCCCACTGTAGAAGTGGGCCCACAATATGTCACGCCCGAAATTTTGGTGATATATTTTTATATACATATCATGTACATTTCTATAGATTTGCAAATAAAAAATTTAGCACGCCCACTCTAAAACCCACAAACCGCCCAAAACTCTTAAACAACATTTTAAGATTTTTTTCATTTTATTATTTTTTTTCTCAACTTTTACCGATATTCCAGAAAATTTTGAAATTTCTCGTTTGCACTTCCACTAGCTGAGTAACGGATATCTGATAGTCGGGGAACTCGACTATAGCATGTTACCTGACAGCTTGCAGTAGTGCTAGTCTAAACCTCCGATATTCCAAAAACAAATTCTTGTTTATTATATTTATTTTGGACAGGTATTATGTACATACATACGTGTTTGTTACCACTGGTTACAATAATCTGTGTCCTTTTATCGGTTGCTATAAGCAAAGTGTGTTTGTTCAATAAAAACGAAAACGATAAGTGTGCTGTTCTGGACTTGTTCAAACAAATCATTATTTTACATAAATAGGAAATTGTATATTTTTAATTTTAAAGCTGAAAACGAAATGTCTCATGCTAATCGTAAAGAAATAACTGGTCTTACTCGCATGACACCCAAGGGCCTAAAAGAACTGTGCAAAAAAGACAAGCTGTATCAAACACCACGTTTAAATGATGTACTATATTTGCACTATCAGGGTAAGTGGTCAGATCTTTCTTACAGAGAAATGAATAAAAAAAAGAAATCATTATAGGTTTTCAGTGCATAGAGAACTTGGAAGAGTACACAGAGCTTAAGTGTTTGTGGTTAGAATGCAATGCCATTTCAGAAATTCAAGGCTTGGAGAAACTTGGCAAACTAAAGTGTCTCTTTCTCCAAAACAACCTTATAACCAAAATCGAAAATCTAGACCCATGTCGCGAGCTAGATACTTTAAATCTGAGCTCGAATCATATTCGCAAAATACAAAACATTGGGACCAATATTTTGCCAGTTTTAAATACTCTTACCATTGCATCAAACTATCTTAAGGACAGTGACAGCCTGTCAGATTTGATTCAATGTAAAACCTTATCGGTGCTAGACTTATCAAACAACAGAATTGACGATATTTTGATTGTAAAAATATTTGAGCAGATGGTAAGTCTGAAGGTCTTGGTTCTGCAAGGAAACCCGGTTGTTTCCCGCTTACCCCAGTATAGGAAGACATTGATATTGGCTTGCGTAAGTTTATTTTTGATCCATTATCATAATATTATACCTTTGAATTCCAAACAGAAAGAACTTACTTATTTGGATAGCCGTCCAGTGTTTCCTCGCGATCGAGCATGTGCTGAGGCTTGGTAAGATTTTTTATACCCGTTATTCGTAGAGTAAACGGTATACTAGATTCGTTGAAAAGTATGTAACAGGTAGGAGGAAGCGTTTGCGACCATACATCTACATCTAGCTACATCTATTATTGATCAGGAACATGGTCCCTATGACCATCGTTAAGATAAAGCATGCAGATTTCAGAGAAATAGGCACAACGCTATCTTGCCACGCCAGCTCTAACGCCCACCATCCGCTCAAAAAATGTTTTGATTTGTTTTCGTTTTATTATTTGTTTTGTCAATTTCTATTGATATGCCAAAAATTTGTTTCCCACGTTCTCTTTAACGCCCACAAACCGCCAAATATCAAAACACTTTTGAAAAGTGTGAGCGTGGCAGTTTTGGGCGGCTTGTGGGCGTTAGAGGGAGCATGGAAACATAAGTCATCATGATGCCATGCGTCTATGTATTTGGAATCTGCATGCTTAATCTCAACTTTCTATCTCGACGTTCATACGGACGGACAGGCAGACGGACAGAGTCAGATCGAGTTGGCTATTGATCCTGATCAAGAATATATATACTTTAAGTGGACGGAAATACTTCCTTCTACTTATTACATACTTTTTATATTTCCAAATCGGTTTAATTAACCTGAAATGTTTACGTAGGAAGCGAGATGGCTATGAAGGGGAACGCAAGGAAAATAATCGTTGGAAACGGGCTGAGCGCAGGAAAACACGCGAAAGCATTAACTGTAAGTAGAACCATAAGAATATGAAAACGATCATCTAATCCGTCATTTTATAAAGGTACCATACGTATGAGAAATAGTCACCGTCCACCTGATCAGCAGGATCCTTTGCTGAGGTCTAGCGATTCGGAAGATGACACATGTACCGAAACAACCCGTAAGAAAGTTGCGCTTGAGAACGATTGTGTCGATGATTTATGGGAGGAGGTCTCGTGTGAACAGCCTATCTCAGACCACGGAACCAGCACATCCAGCTCTGTGGAAGACAAAGATGGTACAAGCTCTCAGGACGATCTCATAGCAGAGAAATTGAGTAATCGTGGAACACTCGAGGGGCGTCCAACAGTCCTTTATGAAAATGAAGTGAGCAACATAAAGAGTGTTAACCAAAATATCAAGAATTTTGAGCCCAGGAGTATAGAGACAAAAGTATTTCAGGATGTAAGCAAGATATCGCCGATTATTATTGAAGAGAAACGCGTTCCGAATATAAATCTTAATAACGAACCAAGCGATGTGAAAAATAGAAAAGTGATTAAGTGTGAAAAAACTGGTTATACTTCCACAGGACAAGTTCTTAAGGAAAACGTTTTTGACGAAGACGCTGAAATAAAAAATGTGGAAGACATGGTTCAATGCCAGGATATAATTAAATCAAACGAAGATATGAACTCTGAATTCGTCGTCAGTACAAAGCTGGAAAAAGATGTTGAGCAAACTTGTATTGCCCTAAGAAATGAAGCTCAATGTAAGGAATTAGACGAAGATCAATCCATTAAAGAAATTGAAAGCAAACTTATTAACGAAATGTACGAAAATGTTGCTGCTGATGACCATGATAAACATAACGAAACTGTCGATTTAAATCTAAAAAAGACCGCAAGTGCACAGCATGCACGCACATTTTTTTTCGAGGAAAACAAAATGACAAGAAGATTTTATCAAGAAGATAAAAAGTCCAGCCTTTTAGCCAAAAGCAAGGAGGAAGCACTGTTGGAAGAAGACTGTATCATTTCAAATGAAAAGTGTGCTTATGACTTAGAGGAAATAGGTCGCCAAATGGAAGAGGATCTGGCAGAACTTAGACAGTCCACTCAAAAATTGGTTGGGTTTTCAATAGACGAGGATGCTGACAGCAAGACAGACAGTGAAATAGATGAGGAGGATCTGATGGCACAGCAGGACCCATACTCTCCACTTCTCCAGCAGCAATTCAAAGACCGGCGTATGAAAATTATGTTAAAAGAAGAAACCAAAGCCCAAGGGGAATCAATTCGGGACTTAAATATTACACTCTCAAACGAATCTAGCAGTGATGACAAGCAAGATCAATTATTTGCCAAATTATTAGATGATGCAACAGAAAATATACCAAAGCGCATCTTTGGTACTGGGTGTGATTCACTTAGTTCTGCTTGGCCTCAGGAAGAGTGCTTGCTTCAATTGACTTTATCCGAAGTAAAAGAAACTCCTGATCAAGAAATTGTCTTCAAGAATTCCATAACAAATAGTTCAAGTTTCGAAGAGGCGAATGAAATTTGCGTTCGTATAGATCAAAAAATGGCCGAGGAAGAGGCAGCTTTAGGTAAACTGTTGCATGACCTAGAAAACGAGGCCAACACGAAGGTGAAGCACGATGAAACCAATTCCAGTAAAGAAAGTGACGCTGCCAGAATTTGTACATCCTTGCTAGACGATATTATGGTTGAGCTTACGTTCAACGAGAAACGGTGGCATGAGAAACCCAAAAGTTTTAAATTCGGTCCCATCGAATCTGACGATGAGTTCAGTTACTCATTTGAACCGCAATTGGAAAAGTTGGTTCCCCCTGCATTAGAGGATCCAGCCCGAGGAAAAAGCCTTCGAGAATGTTTGGACACCTTTTCTGACTTTGTCTCTTCTATGGCAGATCCGAAGCTGCCCTTGATGTTGGGTCGTAACCCCACATCAGGTGTAGAAAAAATTCGTGCCGCTCAAGAGCTGCTAAAGTCTAAAAATCTTGCAGAGCTATACGCAGATACGGCGGAAAGCTTAAACTCCCAGGTAGCCAAAGAAATTGAAAAGCGCAAGCGGCGTGTGGCCGCATCTGCTACCCGTTGCTTTAATCAACGAGATAAATATGATGATACCTTGGAGTTGGTGCAGAATCGGTTGATGATTGTCAAGAAGGATTCCGGGGATCTGGAAGAACTGCCACCTCCACCCCCCCTTATAAGTGACACAGAGTCCGAAGACTACGATACAGCGGAGGATGAGTATACGCCTGGGAATGGAGGTCATAAACATACACATGGGTCAAAACCTCAAGACTCGAAAGAACATTTAATGAATAATTTGTTGAAGCAAAAGCAAGACAAACCCGACACTGTAGAAGAAGTTGGTAAAAAAAACGATCATGATGAAGATGAATTTTATTCGTTGGAAGCTATGACAACCTTCGGTAATCTAGACGCCGAATTTTTTCATAAATTGGATCTTCAGAAAGTTAACGATTCCGAAGACTCAGAATCGGCCATCAATTGCATGCGAAGTTATAACGAACTTCAAGCCTATATGAAATCCGGATCATTGAAACACCAGTTGAATAGTGAGGATACCAAGATGTTGCAGACAATGTTTTCCACGGTTGCCTCTGATGGCAAGCCGAAGTTACGAAACCCCAAAGGAGAAGAGGAGGATGACCTTCTTAAAAAGATGGTTCTTCGCATGAAAGAGTACGAGGAACGGGAGCATCAGCTCCAACTAGTACCGCATGAAATCCCCAGGGAGTTAAGTCCCATTAAGCTATCCTTAGGTGGATCTAAGCTTTTCGAGCAGAAGAATAAAATTCCAGAGACTGGCCTTGTCCATGCAGAAAATGAACTTACTGGGAACATCCAATTTATAGATAACAAGAAAACAAATAATGACAAGAGCACAGATGCAATTGAAAAAAATTGCGAACCACTTGTCAAGACCTCATGTCAAACTTCAAACAAAAGTATAGACGACGATATACAGTCCGACGTTTCAACTGACTACGAATCTGGTGAAGAGGTACTGGTTGTTGAGCCGCCCAAACTTTCTGACGCGGTTCTAAAATCGTTATACTCTGATGGATTTGAAGCAGACTTAAAAATGGTCCATGAACTTGAAGAAGCTACTCGACGTAATCTCTACCGCTATCATTCAAATGTAATGCATAATTCAACAAATAACCATTCCTTTTCAACAAAAAAGACACTGCCTACTAAAACCTCTACTTCTGAGCAGTCTGTAGGAGCCAAGGCCAAGTGGGCCAAAATAGCTGAACGACTACACGAATTTCTTGATCCTGAGACGATTCTAAGGAAAGAACAGATTGGTGAAAGAGATGCATGTGAAGACAGTGAAGATGAAGATTTCGCATTTGAGGAAAACAATTTTGAAAAAGATGAGAAATTAATAATTTCAGAAGAATATAACAGTACACAAAACATTTGCGATGGAAACTCAGGTCCATCTAAGCTTGATGGGAGCGACCAATTTGCGAGCATTAAAGGATTTGAAAACATTACAGAAATGCCAACATATAATATGGAATTAAATAGCCAATCCAAAAAGAAAACTTCCGAAAAATTGTCAAATGAAATTGAAAATATAATCACAACCTGCTCTTCTTTTGAAGCTCCAACTGATAGCATTGGGATTGAATACTTTGAGGACCCAACATTAACCCAAATTAATCCAGAAGGTTTAAAAACGGAACAAATTGAGTGCAATCTTCAGATTCTAAACGAAGATGGAGATGTTGTGGTCCAAGAGCTCAGTGTCAATGCTCAGGTGTCTTTTGAGTAAGAGTCGATCCCGATTAATTTGTTAAAATGTAATTCATCATTTTACAATTTTTTTTTCTTTTGTTCATAAAAAGTAAATGGACGAATATTCGAAAGCGCAAGAATAAATGAATTTTAATTGCCCCACTATGATATAGCATGTAAACTTTAATTTAAAATCCAGCTCGTACCGCTCCAGTAGCAGTAATCTGAAAAATGTATAAAAAGTTGAAAGCACTTATAAAAAGATTAGATGGACTTCGGTTATTAGGAGTGCCCCGTGCCCATTGAAACTGGCACGGCATAAACTACTTAAAACCGGATCGTAGTTTGATGGTGCATCACAGAAACCGGTTTTGTAGACTGCTTGTTGGTTTCTAACGCAGGGCAATCGTTCGGGTTATCACTTGGCCGTCATTGATAACAGTTTTCTGTGATTATCGGTATTCCCAAGCGAAAAATATTATACTCGTAGAGTAAAGGGTATACTAGATTCGTTGAAAAGTATGTAACAGGCAGAAGGAAGCGTTTCCGACCATATAAAGTGTATATATTCTTGATTAGGATCAATAGCCGAGTCGAACTGGCCATGTCCGTCTGTCCGTCCGTATGTCCGTATGAACACCTCGGGATCTGGAACTACAAAAGCTAGAATGTTGAGATTAAGCCATGTTGCCACGCCCTCTAACGCCCACAAACCACATAAAACTGCCACGGCCACACTTTTAAAAAATGTGATATTCACGTTTTTATGTCTTGTAAATTTTTATCGATTTGCAGAACAACTTTTTGCCACACACACTCTACCGCCCACAAACCTCTCAAAACTGCCGTGACCACATTTTTGAAAAATGTTTGGATATGTTTTCATTTTTTTATAAGTCTTGTAAAGTTCTTATAATTTGCTAAAAATAGTTTTGCCACGCCCACTCTACCGCCCGCAAACCGCCAAAAACTGTCACGCCCACCCTTTTGAACATTTTTTTTTTTCATTTATTCCGGAAAATTAAAAAATTTCTCTTTCGCTTTTCCACTAGCTGAGTAACGGGTATCTGATACTCGGGAAACTCGACTACAGCATTCTATCATGTTTTTTTTATTAGTTAGCCCCATAATTTCAGAATCGAAAAGTATTCAGTTTTGAAACTTGTTCTTATCAGGTTTCTTCTTCTGGCCCGGTTGCACTTAACTCATACCAGTCTTAATGCTGATAATTTATTGTCGGTGATTAAATGTATTTTGTTAATGCAAGTATTTTGTCTTCATTATGCTAGATCAACCATAAACAATATAATGCGCCGAGGAAATGAATCCCGTATTGTGCTAATAAGCTCAATGGGTGCAGCAATTGCTACACTGCACTGAATTGCATAAGAACGATTAAATAGGTCACTTTCGCAGCCAAAATCTGAAAATGTAAAAATATATTTAAAAAGCGCTTAGTTTTGGAAACGAAAATCATACAAACCGACATTAGAAGGGAGTTATTAGTGTTCATAAAGCCCTCAGCATTGATAGCCAATAAATTTTGCTCCACTTGCATGATAAACTCTGTCAGCAGATCTTTATAAGAGGTTTCTCTTCCGATCGTGGGATGGCAAGACAAGTTCCTTAAGTAACTTCCAATCAAGACACTCTAAAGGGGTGGAAATAACCTTCATTTCAAAATTTAAGGCAACTGTTTGCATTATGGAATATAAAATATATGTATGTATGTAAGTGAATGGATTTCGTATTATATAATCATCTCATGTTTTATAAACTTATATAAATTGTAAATTTTAAACAAAATTGCAGATGGATTTCAGTCAGAAAATTGCATCGCCGTGAAAGGGTCATTTGCAACCATATTATGTATATTCTTGATCAGTATCAGTATAGCCCTATCCGTATGTACGGTCGTTTCTACGCAAGTTTTTCAATTAGTTTTTTCCCATTCGGAAAAACTGAGAATAAATGTCGTTTTTTTAAATCATAATTCTATATACACCAGTATTTGAGAATATATTAATTTGATTTTAATTCGATAAACATCTAAACAACGACAACATCAGGAACAGTCGGAAATTGATTATCTTATTAATAAAAAAAATCTTACTTTCTTTATATTCGAGTATAAAACGCTTTAGTTCGCAATATAATAGTTTTTTTGACAATAGATAATGCTGGTTAGAATTTGATCAAAATCGGACGATTTATATATCAGAAAGATATATCTGAAAGCTTGAAAGTTTTATTAATAATTGTTTTGGTATTTTTCTTAAATAAAATCATAAGTACATAAGTTTCGGCTTGCCGAAGCTAGCTTTGTTGATTTTTTTTATAACCTGTCGTTGGCAAAACTCTCCACAACGGCAAAACACCAAGATGTTGACGAATGAGGGTACAAAAACGGAAAATGTGGCATAAAGGTACTTGTATTCATAGACCTCAGCCAGAACTTGCTGGGTCCAGTATACATTGACGGTACTATCTGAAAACAGAACCACGTAGGTACCAAGTATGGACCAGCCAAAGAGATCGTTGAAGTGTGTGAACAGATGATAAAGTTCCATATGACACTGTTTAAGTGCTAGCAGAAAATCTAGGGAGCAAAGCCGATTGGCATTACCGTCCAAACTGCAGTTGGCGCCCATCAGATGACACTCAAGTACGTTTTGGAGTCGTTTACCTAACAGACTTACGTGGTGACCCAACAAATCTACGTACAAAAGCATCAATACGAATTGCATCCTTATAATAAGGATTAATAAGAGAGAGGACCAAAAGTAGAGGAGGCTTCCGCTTAGAGCAACATAGATGGAGGGCAATACCGTCACCAAAAATCCAATACCGAGTGCTAGAATTTTCGCATACGACTGCCACTTTAACTGCCCTACATGTATCTTAAGTTCGCACTGCAGTCGAAGTCCCAAGCACTTTATCTCCATACAGAACCTGAAGTAGTCATCGTAGTGAACCATCATCTGCAGTATAATGACAGTAACGCACACAATCTTAGCTACGAAAACAATCACGTTGACCATAAGAGAGAGAAATAGTTCTGAATTTTGTGGAAAATTAATAGAAATTCCGAAACTAACTGCATTTAAAATAATTAAGAATGCTGAGTACAATTTCTGTACGAACTGAGATTGAGCACAATTCTCTGACCAAGGCACAAGCCCCAGCAGGGCAAAGTATTTGAGGTACGTATGAAGGGAATAGAGCATGCCGTACGGTTGAAAATATACTGGCTATAATGACATAATACCCAGAATATTTAACTACTACCACTCGATGGCACTATGAGCAAGTAATTTGCTAATTAATCAGATAACTTTGCTTCTCAATCAATATTGTTCCGCCATAGCTTACCATTAAGAAATCCACCTTTTTAAAGTTTTTCTTCAATCAGAGAATAATCATGATCATCGCAATACCTGCCTAGTCGAGAAAATATGCCAGATGTATATGTACATATGTGACAATCCAAACAATCTTTACAGGAGAAATACAGTCATTTTATAAATGTGTCGTTTAATTTTGAATGGAATTTGTATAATTTTGTTTATTCACTTGAACAATGTTAGTTCCAATAAAAAATATTGTCCAGCCTTCTGGTCAAAAACGGGAAAAGCCACATGGTATCAGATACCCAGCTTGAGATATGCTAGCAAATTCTGTAACATGCGGAAACTTCAGCATGCAATCAACTTTTAATAAACCTTTAACTATTATGGTCGGATTTTCAAAAATGTTTTCATTATTTGAACATTGAATCTGTATGTAATTTTAAGTTTTAATTTTTCTAAAAGACTCAACGTTCATTTGGACGCGCAGACGGACATGGGTAGATGGAATCCCCTTGTTATCCTGATGAGTAAAATAACTAAATTTGTAAATAAATAAATAAAAAAATTTGTAACTGTAACGAACACAGTATACACCCTACCTCTACGAGTAACAGGTATACAAATTAGCGCGCTCACAATATTCGTATACAGAAGCTATCGCTTCTGATTTTCTACGTTTCCGCTGATAATAGATCGTTTCTATAATTTAATTGTGATTCCATATATAAAGTGAGCTAATAACAGAGTCACTAGGTTGCGCATATATTTCTATTCCCTTGCAAGGAGTATATTGATTTCAGAGGTTGCAACGCATGAAAAAACTATGCCACAAAACTCATATAAAGTAAAGTAAATTAACAGTCGATATCGATATCAAGTCGATATAGCCATGTCCTTCTATCCGTCCGTTTTCACAATTTTCAAGATATCTCCATGAAACTTTACCAAAAGGATTTGTTCAATTGAATGTAGTATATTAGTCATAAAGGGGCAGAATGGAAAGAATATTATATATATTGTATATATATATAATATATATTTCGTCTGTCCGTCCGTATAAGCGTCGATATCCCAGGAACTATAAAAGCTATCAAATTGAGATTAGGCATGCGGATTCCAGAGACATAGAAGCTGCGCAAATTTGTTAATTGATGTTGCCACGCCCACACTTTTTCAAAATGTTTTTATATTTTTTCATTTTTTTGTTTGTTTTGTAAGTTTTTATTGGTTTTCCCACGTTAGCTTGAACGCCCACACTTTTGCAAGCATTTGAATTTTTGTATTTTTAAAATTTATATAAATTTTGCAAGGGTATATAGGCTTCGGCTTGCCGAGTCTATCATTCGTTCTTGTATATATATATATTTTTTTTTTAACAGTTGATAACGATAATGCAGCCTTATGTGGTGTGAGGCTATAAATAAGCCACTATTTGTAAACACGAAATCAGTTGATACTTTGCGGGCCCTGACAAAATAACAAAGTGAAAACAGAGTACTGAGTACTCATATTAAAAGCTACTTGACTATTAGTGTTGGTGTTAAAGTGCTGAAAAGTAGTCAAATCTAATGGCTGTTAGTATGAATCTGATTAAAATAAGTCGCTTTAAAGACAAACTTGCAGACTTTAATTTTGAGGCATAATTCAATATAAACTTTTTTTAAATTAATTTATCTCTTTATTTATACTTCACAAAGTTCACAAAGTTCACATTACCTAATGTTCCAAGCGCACATATACACTCGTAAACATTTTAATATGCGTCGTTAATATAAGCGTTATTATAATAATCTTCAGTACAATTAGTCGCCTTTTTAGTCCCCAAATAAAAAATCATCCCCAGTGGATTTCACATTAAAATATATCACCAAATATGCTTCATAAAGGTAGATGAGTCAGCCTAAAACATGGGTAGTCAAAAAGCAATTGTACTGTGTTGTTAAAAATATATAGATGATCCTCAACAAATTTGTTTAATTAAGGTGTGCGTCTGGTCATAAAAGAATTATCTAAAGCAAGGATCCCGAGAATGTTATAAAAAATCTGTTTACGCCAAATTAAAGCCCATATATCGTGATCGAGAAATTTTTTAAAACTAATTGAATTCTTGATTTAATGACTTACTATGAGTTTTCACAGTTGGGAGAAATGGAACAAATGGATCATAAACATTTTACAAATTGTCAAACTTCTTACTGTTATTGTGTTCCAGCTTTTTAATATCCTGAAAATTTCTATTGAACGTACATATTCGATCTTAACAGTAGGAAGTTTTCCCAAAGAATATAACAAACACAGTAACAAAAACAGAAAGTGGAAAAGTAAAAAAACGAACAGAAGAGAAAAAAATTAAAAATAAATGTTTATAATAAAATTCTACTTTCTTGCAAAATCAAACCCATGTTTGAAAGCCGTTATGAAATTTCTAAGATACCATTAAATACTAAAGATTCTAAATTAAAAATGCAATTGAAGAGAAAATGAACAAAACAACAAAAATGATACTCGCTTTTTGTCTGCCTCATCTTGTTTTCGTCATTTGCATTTTCCAATTACCGTTTGTTCAGCATATGCTTGATTTTCTTACTTCAGTGGTCAAAAATATATCGTCAGGCAATATAAGAAATAAACGTACACACTTTTAGAGAAACAATTTCATATACATATATGTATGTGCTATAAATGTATAAGGCTGTGAATTATTGTATTCCCACATTAATATTAAACAAAACTTTAAGTCTCTTTTCATTCCTATGACGCTAAAATTTCGTTCTAAAGCGAAAGAATATGTAACCTTTAGTTACAGTAACACTATTATTCTCACATAACGAACATTCTAATTATTATTGTTTTATTATGGCTGTTATATTGCATTTGTCGTCGCAACAATTAATGCACAATCTCCTAAAATTCGACAAAAAGTTAGACATATCTATTGCTCTCTCTGTGTGCTCTTCCTTCTTTTGAGAATAAATTGAGCACAAAACAAAAACAAGAGGGACTTCCCGATTGTCCTAGTTTTAATTCAATTTTTCCGTTGATTTTGGGTAGGTGACAACGTAAAAATTTTACGGGTTTTTAGAAAAATGTTTCATGATGTTGTCTTGCATTTATGGCTTTGCTTAGCTTTGCTTTTAGGGTGCCTTTTCCTGACTTTTTGACCCTCTTTCTTTTTTAAATAGAAAATCGTCCTTAGTTTTAAGGTTTTAATTTTTATAGGTCGATTTTCTAAAATGCAGACCATTTTTTCTATGACCTTACTGTTTTTACGGTTTTTCTCTCTTATACGATTTTTTTAAACGTTCCCTTACTTCGACGAACATTTCAAGACTAAGGTAAATCTGTTTTCGAAATAAAGGTAGATTAACGAAAAACAATTTCTTTATTTAAAAATAGTATATATAATCACTAGACAATGTTTTTTCTAATTAATAATTAAAATATGGTTTTATGGTACGTTTGGTTAGCATCGGTAAATACATATGTATTATACAAATTCAGATACCCGTTACTCAGCAATATGCATATCCATTGAAATAATATATATAAATTGGAAAGAAAAATAGTTAAATAAAATAAATAGAAACCTTTTTAAGGGTAAACTTATAATTTATGTGTCCAACCTCAACATATTAAAAATCATTCTAACTTTTTTTTCACATTTATCTCATGCGCTTTTCAGCTAAAAATAAGAATCGCAATTATAGGACAGAGCAATTTTGCTGCTGATGTTCTAGAGCTTTTGTTGGAGCGCTCAAATATCCAAATTGTAGGCGTCTTCACTATTCCAGATAAAGGAACTCGAGAGGACATTTTGGCAACTACTGCTAGCATCCACAACATACCTGTTTTCAAGTTCGCAAGCTGGCGTCGCAAGGGTGTGGCACTGCCTGAGGTCTTGGAACAATACAAGTCTGTGGGCGCTACCCTGAATGTTTTGCCCTTCTGTTCTCAATTTATTCCCATGGAGGTGATTGACGGGGCGCTATTGGGCAGCATTTGTTACCACCCGTCGATCTTGCCTCGTCACCGCGGAGCTAGTGCCATATCGTGGACACTGATCGAGGGCGACGAGGTGGCTGGCTTCAGCATTTTTTGGGCAGATGACGGTCTTGACACAGGACCCTTGCTGCTAACCCGGCAAACGAATGTGGAACCCACGGACACGCTGGACACCATATACAAACGCTTCCTATACCCCGAAGGTGTAAAAGCAATGCGTGTCGCAGTGGACATGGTGGCTAGTGGTACGGCACCCAAGATAATCCAGGCGGAAGTGGGGGCAACCTACGACCCGGCTATGTTTAAAACAGAAAATCAGGTGATCAATCTTCAGGCCTCAGCAGAAAGAATTTGGAACTTTGTTCGCGGTCTAGACTCAGTTCCTGGAGCCATAGCCACGGTTTTACATGAGAATGGCACAGAGGAGCAAATTCGACTCTTTGGAGCTCATCTGTACTCCGCTGGCCCCGTTTCGGATGGAAAGGTTCTACGGCTAAGGGGCCTAACAAAGCCCGCCTGGATACACAGCCGTGGTCTTCTTATAGAGGGAACCGACGGTGCCTTTGTCAACATTCGCCGTATTAAGCGTGGCACAAAGGTAATAAGCGCGAGCGACTGGTTTAGGCAATCTGAGAATCAGTCTATCACCGACTTTACCGAGGACGAATTGACGAAGCGAACGTTGCTGGCCGGAATTTGGAATGCAATACTCAAGGAAGAAATCGACTCATCGACCGATTTCTTTGCATCCGGCGCAGGTTCAATGGACGTGGTGCGCTTAGTGGAGGAGGTTAAAGAAGTCTTCGACGTGCCGCTGCAGAACGAGCAAGTTTTTATGGCGCCCGTATTCGAGGAGTTCTTTAGCGAACTGGTTAGGTTTCTTCGACAGGGAAGTGCCTGTTCCAGTGACCAGCAGCTCGACTTTGAGGCATTCACGTTGAAAGCCAACAAAAGAAAGATCCGAGTGCCCACGCAACTTTTTATCAACGGCGAGTTTGTTGACGCCGAGGGTCAACGCACTTTGGAAATTGTTAACCCAACCAATGAAGAAGTGCTTTGTAAAGTGGC